ACTTGGGTAAGTCACCTTGTTAGACGTTCATTGTGCCAGGTGCTTGCTCCTGGATGTCATTGCGATGGTGAGTGTGTCTCCGTAGAGTGAGTGCCTTGGAGGAGGAAGGGAGCTGCCATGGTGCCTGGGTGCTCTCACCCCTAGAGGGGCAGCCTGGTCTAAGAACATGGCCTCTGAGCACAAAAGCAGTTTGGGTTTCTTTGAAGCTCTTCAAGTTGAGAGTTGAATTTATCTTTTCTGAGACTTGAAGACCTCATCTGTAAGATGGGGACAGTCACACTTTCCTGATAGAGGTTCTGTAAGGATTAAACAAGCTAGGGCCGTATTACATACCTGATGATTATCAGGTATTGATCTTCCTGTTTCCCGTTCCACCTCTCAGTAATATCTCATACCACAGTCTACTTATTTTCAGGACTTTGCTTTGAAAAATATGTGTGATCACTCACACTGTCTTCGCCTGGATTTTCCACTCAGTTTGCTTTGTCAATAAGAAGAATTTAAATGAATTCATTTCCTTTATTTTTAAATCTAATTTATTTATTTATTTATTTATTCATTCATTCATTTTTTAGAGTCAGGGTCTCACTCGCTGTGTCACCCAGGCTGAAGTGCAGTGGCTTGATCATGACTCACTGTAGCCTCAGCTTCCCAGGCTGCAACAATCCTCCCACCTCAGTCTCCTGAGAAGCTGGGACCACGGGCATGCACCACCGCACCTAGCTAATTTTTGTATTTTTAGTAGAAATGGGGTTTTGCTTTGGCACCCAGGCTGGTCTATACGCTTGACCTCAAGTGATCCGCCTGCCTCAGCCTCCCAAAGTGCTGGGATTACAGGTGTGAGCCATCATGCCCAGCCTCCATTCCTCTAGATGAGGGTTTTCAACACCATTGTGCCCCATAAGGCCTTGGCTTTTACTCTTGCGGGAAATAGAAAGTCGTTGGTGGGTTCTAAGCAGGGGAGGGACCTAGTCTGACTTAGGTATGGAAGTGGCACTTTAATTGCAGTATGTAAAATAGACTGTAATTGAGCAAAGGTAAAAGCTGAGAGAATAATTTGGTATCTATTGCAGCGATTCTACAACGGACAAGGGTGATTTGGGTCAGGAGGGTGGTATGGGAGCTCATGTTATATCTGGATTCCGGTCGTATTTTGAAGGTAGAGCCAAAATACTCTCCTAATAGATTAAATTTAGAATGTCAGAGGAAGAAAGCGGTCAAGAATGGAGCAGCCAGTTTCAAGGGTAGATGAAAGGTCCAGTGTGGGCGATATGAAGGTTGAAGTTGCTTAGGCATCCAAGTAGCGATGGCAAGCAGACGGCTAGATTTCAGGTCTGGCTTCAGGAGAGAGGCCTGATCAAGTGATCGCAGTTGCCTCTGTGCCTCTTAATATTTGTAATATTCATTTCTTTTCTTTTTCTTTTCTTTTTTTTTTGTATCAGAGTCTCCCTCTGTCACCCAGGCTGGAGTGCAGTGGTGCTATCTCGACTCACTGCAACCTCCTGCTCCTGGGTTCAAGCAATTCTCCTACCTCAGCCTCCCAAGCAGCTGGGATTACAGGCATGTGCGACCACACCTGGCCAATTTTTGTATTTTTAGTAGAGACAGGGTTATACCATGTTGGCCAGGCTAGCCTTGAACTCCTGACCTCAAGTGATCCATCTGCCTCGGCCTCCCAAAATGCTAGGATTATAGGCATGAGTTCCCATGCCTGGCCAATATTTGTGATATTCATTTCTTAATTGACTTCACACTAGTGTTTAGTTATCCAGAGGGGGTCATATCACTAAATGTCAGTTAAAAAAAATGAATAACTACATACACACATGCAGACACACACACACGCATATATCACACATATATATAGCCCACAGTAAGAAAGTAAGCAGTTGTCATGATTACCATAATCCCTTTCTCTTTTGATTATGTCACTTAAATTGTCAAAAATAACTGTAAAGACTTAATCCTGCTTATTATATGGAGTAACCCTCTGACTTAGCAACTAAAAATCTCCACAAGTGAATCCTTTCTTACCTCTCTGGGATTTTCACTTTCTTCCCCCCATACTACATTTTGATGGTAAATTCTCCATTTTCCAAGTGCAGTTTGAAGGTACCATGGGGAGGAAATCAAATTTCAAGTTAAAAATTAAAACACACTCTGTACACATTCAGTCATTGTAATTCTGGAAAATGTCCTTTGAGTTAAAAAGTACATATATTTAACAATAGGAGAAGCCATATAATATTGTGGTTAAGAGAGTAAGTTCTAACCTGGAGATGAATTTAAATTCTAGCACATTACCTTGAGTCAGTATCTAATCTCTTAAGTCTCAGGTTCTTGGTCTTTAAAATTGAGACATGCTAGGGTTATGGAGAGTATTAAATGAGATAATAAATGTAATGTCCTTTGCACAATGTCAGACACATGGTAAGTTCTTACAGTTGTCAGTATGATGATAATGTTGCCAAGTGACTTTATTTTTATTTTCAATTGGCGCTAAGGGTAAAGACTTTTCTATGACTTTACATTTACCGTGGACTTTTCACTAAGTATATGCCTTGATATAGCACTGAAAATTTAGAAAACTTAGTCTCAAGGCATTGGGCCAAAAGAAAGAAAAAGACATTAGGAACAGATATAAGAGTATGCTCCAACCTGTAACTGGTGGCCCATTTCCGTCCTGACTCCTCCCCTCCCCCCCTACCTTGCCCATATTGGGTAATTAACACATTGAATTTACTCAAAAGGAAAAATACTAAACTTACCTCTTCCAGCTTACGTTACTTTGTGTATATTTTGTTTTTTTTTTTTTCAAGAATGGTTCTTTGGGGAAAACAGAATATGTTTTCTATGGAAAAACACATATTCTTTCAGCCTTGTAATTTTGGAAGCAAAAGATGGTCTCCATGGTAAGAAGATGGAAAACGAGTAGTATTAATAGAAGATAGCACAGAACTAATGTACATTTTATAGTATAAAGGAAAGATTTTTTAGCCTCCCTGCCTAAAACAACATCATGAACTCTACGTTATGCTAAACTGGTGAATAAAATGAAAAGGAGCCAGCCAGGGTATGATAGCTCAGAATGAAAGTCAGTAGTCAACTCCCAGGAAAGGAGAAACCGCTCCAACCCATGGCACATGGAGGCTTAATTAGTCCTCCTATGATCTGTAAGAAAAGCTTCGAAAATTCTTCTGTCCTCTTAGAAACAGATCTATAGACACATCATAGTGCTTTTTTTCTTTTTCTCTTTGTATTTTTAGTAGAGATGGGTTTTCACCATGTTGGCCAGGCTGGTCTCGATCTCCTGGCCTCAAATGATCCACGCACATTAGTCTCTCAAAGTGCTAGGATTACAGGCAGGAGCCACCACGCCTGGTCACATAATAGTGCTTTTTTTTTGAGACAGAGTCTTACTCTGTCACCCAAGCTGAGTGCAGCAGCACAATCTCAGCTCACTGCAACCTCTGCCTCCCGAGTTCAAACAATTCTCATGCCTCAGCCTCCCAAGTAGCTGGGATTACAAGTGCCCGCCACCACATCCAGCTAATTTTTGTTTTGTTTTTGTTTTTTGAGACAGTCTCACTCTGTTGCCTAGGCTTGAGTGCAGTGGTGTGATCTCAGCTCACTGCAACCTCCGTCTCCTGGGTTCAAGCAATTCTCCTGCCTCAGCCTCCCAAGTAACTGGGATTACTGGCACCCACCACCATGCCTAGCTAATTTTTAGTCGACATGGGGGTTTTGCCATGTTGGCCAGGCTGGTCTTGAAATCCTGACCTCAGGTAATCTACCCACCTCGGCCTCCCAAAGTGCTGGGATTGCAGGCATGAGCCACTATGCCCTGCCACAACATAATGCTTTAATCCTCACATTGTGGAGTTGCCGATGTACTAGAAATATCAGTGTGGATGAAAAGCCAGTAAGACAATGACTGTCTAATGTTCTCACCTCATCTCCAGGCCAGTTTCAGATCCCAAACAATCCCTTTCTTTCTCTAGGTCCTTCATTCCCTCCATGAAATGTCTAATGGGCTATATTTTTCCTTCATTCCCTTCATGCAGTGTCTAATGGGCTATATTTTTCCTTCACATTTTTTTCCCATGTTGTCTTCTGCTAGGATGTTTTCATTTCTTCTTAGCTCTCTGCGTGATTGGATCTCTACAGTGGTATTTTGGGGTTACCTTAATGCATCTCTTTTTACTTGTTATAATGTAAATTTCTTGAGATAATCTACTCTTGCTCTATACTCTACTCTCGTCTGTAGCCTGTACTTGTCTTACATTTCTCTCCTTTCCCATTCATTTACATAATCTTACATCCTAAAATATATTCTTTATCTGATATCTATTGAAATGAGAAGATATCCATAAAATTTATCATAAAATAATAAATTTTATTTAAAAAATAAGTACTCCAGAACTTAAATGTCTATATGAGTGTTCTGCCTTAAAGAAAATGTTGGAACGATGTTCTTTAAAGGCTTTAGAATTAATTTTAGAATCCCTTTACAATCTTCACAAGAAAATCACCCTGCTACCATAAGGCAGAGCTTCATGCGTTACCCAGATTAGCATTACTCACCTAATTCACCAGACCTGAGGCCAGATTTCCTTCTATAGTTTTCATAGTTCATAGCAGTCCTTAGAGGATGAAAATTTACCCCATTAAGGAATCTCAAGAGTGGGGGGGCACATTCTGAACACGGTTCTGAGGGAGAATTTCAGGCTTGCTTTGGAATAATGGAAGCTTCATTAAACTAAGTCTGTAGTACCCACGTACTTTAGAGGGGAAATCTCCCTTTTCGATGAGTAAGTTCTGTCATTTCTGGTAACAAATTGAACCTACTGTTTCATAGTCACATCATTAAGAGCCATTTCAGCAGTTTCTGTTACTTGACTTCAACTGTGTTCTTGTACACAGTGTGCTTAAAACTTCTCCTCTGAACACGTGGGACATGGGCTCTTCATAGTAACAGTGTGTCTTCATATTATCTCCAGGACTATACTTGATAAGAAGGAGCTCTTGGAGTTTGCTCAGCTTGGCTGCTACTTGGAATATGATCTCTTTGGTACTGAACTACTTCATTACCAGCTCGGCCCAGATATTGACATGCCTGATGATAACAAAAGAATTAGAAGGTAAATATGGTGAAGTCTCCTGCAGCATTCTCTTTCCCATGCCCTTTTTGATTGTCATATCTGGGGAAGTATTAGCAGAGATTCAGAAAACAGTAAGGAGACTGAACCACAGACTTGCAGAGAAAAATATATCTATGCTGTTTCAGGGAGAAAAATCTCTCTATATTATTTTAAGGAGAAAATGAGTCATCCTAAGTAGGCTAAAGCTTAGCAGAGCCTTAGAAGTTCAGTGCAGATGGGCAGCTGACAGGAAACACAGATAATACCCAACCCCTGCCATGAAAATCAGAGAACAAAAGACATTTTCCTCTATCTACCCCTAATGAAATAAGCTGTTCTTCTCTCAGGTTGACTACACTACAGCCATAACTTCCTACAAGTAATATTTAAAATGCTTTATTAAAAGGTTTTATTAAAAAGGCAATCTCAAGTTAAATGCTAAAATATAAAGTCTAAAGACCAAACATCATGTAAAATGTGCAACCTTCAAAAACTGTGTAATGTGTGATGCTAGTAGATAATTGTAGGAGTCATTCTTTGTAATCCAGTAGAAAATTTTAGGCATCAAGGATAGCTACCTACTTTTGTCTTGGTCACATGGTGATATGAAGATTGAATGAACCAAGTTAGAAAATCTAGGAGGAGAAATAAACTGGAGATTGACAAGGAAGACTTTTGTTTGGGAATATCTATTTGTTACTATCCAGTGAAGCTGTAAGATAAGGTTTGTATATGATAGTTGAACTGTGGGAATGAATGACATCACTCAGAGAAGAGGGTGAGGACAGAGACCTGGGGACAGAGACTTTTAAGGGATGGAGTAGGAACCACCACTGAAGGAAAGCTTGAGAAGTTTTCGAAGTGATAATATCAGGGATATGTGTTGTTATGGAAGTCAGTAGAGAGGAAGGCTCAGGGCAGAAGGGCTTGAACACGTGTAATATGTGACAGATATCTAGGGAAGTAAAAACTGAAAAGCATCCATTGTTTTTCACAATTAGGAAGGTCACATTTTATAAACAGTAAGTGCAGTCTCAGGAGAAAAGCCTTGAAGAATGGGTGGGCCATGAGGAAGAGGAGAGGGATGTTTAGGTGACTCTTTCGAGACACATGGCAGTGGAGGGAAGCAAGGAGATGGGCTGGAGCTAGAAGAAAACAAAGGGTCAAGGGAAGTTTCTAGTAAGAGTTGACCAGTGGTTATGTGACTAAGAGCAAGAGCAGAGCCAGAGCCAGATAGAATGAGTTCAGGGAAGCAGTGCCCATTCCGCAGGGCACTATAGAATTTACATGAAATGACACATGCCAAGTTTTTATCTGAGTGGTGCAGAATATGGAAGTGTTCAATAGATGCTGATTTTTTAAAAATCTGGATAGATAAGAAATACAGAGCAAGGCTTCTAAGGTGGCAAATTGAGGGAATCTAGGGAACAGACAGCAAGTTGGTTGAAAGGATGCTTTCTCCATCGAAATGAGAGGGCACGACACAAGCAATGGGGTGAATGCAAATAAAAGTCTTAGTGAGGGGAGCAGGAGACTGAGGACACATGGCCACATGTCCTCTAGTGTCTCTGTGAGGTAGACATAATTATCTCTCGAGAAAAAAAGAGTGGCTTTAGGGCAGGACCATGTAGAGCAGGAGGAAGGCTGGGGATGGCTCTCAGGTCAATGAGAGAGAGATTGACATGGATGTGTTATGTGTGAGACCTCGTTGAGTGTAGAAATCATGATTGCATGCCTGCATACTGGCACCAGTGCACATGATTTGGTGATTATTTTCCAAAAGCTAAAATGTTTTGCATTTCGGTAGTGGAACCAGAGAAGCTGTATGCATACAAGCAGGACATGGGAACAGTTCAAAAGATTGAAGGTTGAGATTCTATCTGAAAGAAATGGGTAACAAAGGAGGGGTTGAGATTGAGGGTCATGGAAGCCAAGCTGGAGGGAAGAAAATATACAGAGGAATGGGCAGATCGAAGGGAAGTATAGCAGGGCAAATAACTGGACTGCAGGCTTTAATGAAGTAGGTGGAGTATGTGTATATGCATATGTATGTGTATATACTTGAAGAAGTGAGTGGAAAAAATAGTAAGAGTAACATAATCGGAATAGGAAACTGAAGATTGAGATTGCAGAGGGGGAGCAGTAGTTCCCTTTGATGACAAGAGCTAGAATTTGATGGTGAGTACAGAAAAAATGGTTACAGTGGAAGGAGCAAAGCTAGAATTGAGAAGTGATGTCCAGGAACTGTGAGATTCAAGTATCGATAGTTGAATAAGGCACACTGGGTTGAGGGGAAGATCTTGAGCCAGTGGCCATAGTTGGGACATCCTGAGGATCTTCGCTTGAGAAGTCGACATTTTTGTCTGTATGCCTTCTGCTGTCTCCATGTATTGGCATTCTGCCGTGACCACCTCATTAGTAGGAATATGTTCAAGTTTAGTATCATTAGGGAAAGAGAGTTAATCAGTGTTGCACTAGTTATGTAATATGGCGACACTCAACTCTACATGAGCAAATGACTTCAACTGCCTTGACCAATGAAGCGCCGCCTTTTTTTTTTAAGACTCAGATCAGTTATTTGACAAGTAGTTGTATTGTCTCTTTGTTTATTTTTATTTTATTATTTTAATTTACTCACCCAGGAACCCCATTCAATACAGGTGAACCAGTTTCCCCAGAGCCCTTGTAGTTAGTTTATACTCAGAGGACACTACTCCTTGCCTAAAGGCATCTGGAATTTAACATAGGGCAGTGCATTCAGTCATTCTCATCTTTCACAATCTCAAAAACATGATTTCCTGATCAGTGTCCTCAACACATGTCTTCCACATTGTCTTGGAAATGGGAACTTTGCACTCTGAATCGGCTTCCTTTTCCCAAGCCCCTTTTTGGCAGTGAGGTGCATCTTTTGTACGCCTGTGTCTTACATGAGGCTCCCAGACCTTCCCAAACAAGAGAAAGAAGGTCTGTAAAAGGTCGTCTATGAAGGAGATAGAATGGTCGGATGGGCCGGGCACGGTGGCTCACGCCTATAATCCCAGCACTTTGAGAGGCCGAGGCGGGTGGATCATGAAGTCAAGAGATCGAGACAATCCTGGTCAACAAGATGAAAACCCATCTCTACTAAAAATACAAATATTAACTGGGCATGGTGGCTCAGGCTGTAGTCCCAGCTACCTGGGAGGCTGAGGCAGGAGAATTGCTTGAACCCAGGAGGCGGAGGTTGCAGTGAGCCGAGATCGTGCCATTGCACTCCAGTCTGGGTAACAACAGCAAAACTCCATCTCAAACAAAAAGAATGGTTGGATGACCGATGGCTCCCCAGCATTTCTTCTTAGCTTCTTTTGGCTATTTGTTTATCTGTACTGTGCTACATATAGCCATTCTGGATATATGGAAATAATAAAAATTATTATAAATATGTTTATACACACATTTATGTGTATATAATTTATTATAATATAAATGTGTGTGTGTATTTGTGTGCAATCTAGTGAAGCCCTAAGATAAGGTTTGTATGTGATAGTTGAACTGTGGAAATGAATGACATCACTCAGAGAAGAGGATGAGGACAGAGACCTGGGGACAGAGACATTTAAGGAATGAAGTAGGAACCACATATATTATAGATATAAATGTATGCATGTATATATTCACACATTTATATCTATAAAATGCCTGTGTGCTATTCCATGCATATGTATATGTATGTGTGCTTAATCTTCCTTAAACCATGCATTAGGTCACTTGACCCAAGCGCAGCCCGTGGTAAGCACAGAACACCCTCTTGGGTTGCACGTGTTCCAGTGCCCCACGGTCTTACACACTTGGTGTTCATCATGCATCTGCGGTCCTTTTGTGAGCCATCGTAGTCTTAAACCTCTGAAGTGCAGGAGCACAAAAGCACGCTTCTGCCTACCTCTGGTGCTCAGCACCAGAAATTCTGTGTCTAACACCTGTTTTCAATCTTCTGCTCCATTTCTCAAATCTTATTATATCTCTGCCTTTTCACACTTTGTAGTCTCTCTCTAATATTTGTTTGCAAACACTAACTCATTTGTATTTCTATAATTACCGTGGTTTTTTGTCTTCTCATCTGTAGTGGCTCCCCCTTTCTGGCAGCATCTCTGTAGCTCCTGTTCTTCCGTATAACGGCACAACATAAGAGATGATCTTTTAGTGTAAGCGGGACGGGGCAGGTTTTCTTGATAGTCAGGATATAATTGTGTGTCCAGAGCTGTAACGTTATCTTTCTCGTGAGACAGCTAGTCTCTGGATACTTGACTTGATGGGCTCTAAGGATTCCCAGTTTTAAATATGAGTATCTTGTCCTCTGCATTCTTTGATTACTACTTCACGATTTGATAACGTTGTGTTTCAAGGTCTGACACAAGACATCTTAGAGGAATTTGTTTATCCACATGATATGCCTTTATAATATGAGAAATCATATTTCTCAGATAAGAAAGAGAGGCGCAAATTTTAGAGAATGCCCAGAAAATATCAGGGAGAAATTGTTTCCTCAAACCTCCTATACCATGATGCTTCTTTGCAGCTGTGGTCACACTAAGGTTCAGCATTGTGTATGCATTCTGTCAAATTGTCCTTTTTTTGTGTGTGATCATATAACTTAGATAATTCCCTTAAACTGAGTATGTTCTAAAAGTAACTGCAGATCAGAACTTTAGGATATTACACAAATTTCAATGAGGCAGAAAGTCTTAGTAGCACAAAAGTCATTCCATGCACTTAGAGGACAGCCATGTCTGTTGGCACTGGCATTCCCTTTACCTGCAGATACAAGGCCTATTCTTCCATTATTATTTATTTTAAAATATATGTTCTGTGAGGGCAGGGCTTTGTGCTTGAGTTTTTTTGTGTGTGTAGTGTCCCACATTTTTCTCACTGTAGTAGTTATTAAATATGACTCATGTACTAGGACACCAATAAACGCTTTAGAAACAAAAAAGATGCCTTTCAAATAATCAGCTTCTGGAGGAAGGCACTGTTCATCCATCTAGATTCGCTTTAGAATCTAGATGCTGAAAAACTATTCAGAGAATCCCAGAGAAGAGCTATTGTCTGTGAGTGGCATCTTCCACCATCAAAGACCCATGGAAGTCACGACAGACAGTGCCCAGAGTCCAGACACGTACAGATGGTGGCTGTCAGGAGGTGACTCACACTACAGATTCCAGCATTCAACAAAGCAAAGAGGAGTTCATTTTTAGAGAATAGTCAGGAAACTGTCCTTTAGTTCACCGACTATAAATTTAAAGAAATAGCTTATTATTTTAGCAGTCTCGCTGACATGGGAGGAAGACAGAGTACATTTGTATTGGTCGGTTTAATCCAATGCTCAGAGACTATAACTAAATCAAAATTGCCATAGACTTCAAAGGGGAAAATGGTTAAAATACTGAGGTACCCTTACCAGCCTTTTTCAGTGGCTTGCTTTGTGGCTTATCAAATGTCCCTCACTTCCAAACCGATTGATCTTGCTCTCAAAATATTTTGCTTGTAGTGAGACTCCTTTTGTTTCCCTGTTTTAATCGCAAATAGTCATTGATTTTTTTTTATGCTAGATAAAAGGAGAGAGAAAGAATGAGATCTGAAAAATGGGCCCACCAAAGAGGCATTTGAGAGAGGAGAGCTGAATACAAATCCAGAACAAAGTTATTTAGTGAAATGCTAAAGTGGTCCTTGGTTCAAAATGGCACATCTATTAGAAGCTGTCTTTAATGCAGTATTGCCAGGCATTGTCATAAATATCACCGGTTAGAAATTTCTGTGTGTGTGGAATACGGCTATGTTCCTACCAGGATGCAGCAATATTTTTATCATCACCACACAATATTTATTGAAGGTCTCTCAGTATACACGCCACAGTAGAAGGCAGTATCTTTACCACAAGCACAATACGTTAATGACTAAAAAGTCAAAAGCACCCTGAACAGAGAAAATGAAAGACAAATGACATCTAATGAGTTAACATTTTTCACAGGGTGCGTCTTCTGGTGGAGGAGGGCTATGAAGATGGAATTCTGATAGCACATGACATACATACGAAAACCCGGCTGATGAAATATGGAGGTCACGGCTATTCTCATATACTCACCAATGTCGTTCCTAAAATGCTACTTAGAGGTATAACTGAGAATGTGCTTGATAAGATTCTAATAGAGAACCCTAAGCAATGGCTGACTTTCAAATAGGATGGTTGCTTATGAATTCACACCTTGAATATACAACTTGCGGAGAACATTCAGCGATTTTCAATCCACTGTGAGATATTCATCAGTTACCTAGGACTAATGACTGATCATTTCCTTCTTATGAGAACTAGGAGAATTTGCCTTCTCTGAGACCAGCTATTACACCTGTGCCTCTAGGGATTACTCAGCCTAATTGAGCCCTATTATTGTGCCTTAACAAAATAAATACAGAAGTACCTATTTCAAAACAGTGATTTAAAGTCTGTATCCCCTAAGTGGAGTTGCTGTTTTTCTCCCTAATCTATCAGCTGCACTACTTGAGAAAATTTAAAGTGTTTCTAGTTAAATTATTCCCTTCTTGAAAATCTAACGTTTCTTGTAATATTGATGATCCTACTAATTACCCTGCTGTTCTTTAATTAATGCTTAATGAATAATATGGCACTTTAAAATAGCTTCTGCAACAAGGGAAGTTAAATCTTGAGACTTTTTCCCCAAAGGATACTGACTGTAATATGGTTACCAATTCACAATGATAAAAATATTTGGAAGGTCATTTTATGCTGTCCACCTAGCTATATATTCTTCTAATAAAATGGTTTTAATATCTTTGGCTTACTGGTATCCATTTTTGCCATAAATTTTGCTGTTTTGCAAAGTTTGTGTAAGAACACATACCACTACTGAATTATAAAAATTCCATCATAAAAGTCAAAATATATTACATAATATAGTTTAATGAATCATTACATTTATAATAACAAAGGCCACAATTTAATTAATTGATAAGATATAATGCAAAAAAAAAAAAGAGAGAAATGTTTGCCTTTTATATATTCCCTTTATTTCCTTTACCTTTTGTTTTTCCTTGGCCCTACACAGAGAAAATCATGCTTATTTATCTGAAGAAAAGGTCAGATCTATTGGAAATGACAGCTCGATGCTAGAGCCTACTCTTTAAAAGGTATCCAGCCCTAATATTTTGTGTGAATAAAGCATCTTTAAAAACTCTTAGTTAAAACACTTAGGTCATGGGCACTGACTGCTACTTATAAATTAATCTTTTGGTTAAATCCTCACTATGCTATCTGGAACCTACAAATATTATCCAAACCCTTGCTGCCAATTCCTCTTGGATAAATATATATTGTTCATTTGAAATAAAACCCATTGTGATCCATTTATGAGTTATCTTACCTATCACACAGGCCAATTAGAATTAGTCATTATTTTTGATGAAGTGTCTGTTTTTAATCCTATAAATCATGACAGTTACTCAGACCCAGGCATTTCAACAGAACTCACATCACCTTCAGATAGGAACACCATCATACCTCTTGGAAAGTTGAGCTTTGCTAAATAAAATATATTTATGCTGCTCAAACATGATCAAGCTTTCTGTGTATCGGAATAGAAAGTACCAAAGAGGAAGGAGCCAGGAGAACAAATTAATTCCTTTAAATAAAAAATGCAAATGTCCTTACCAGAAAAGCAAGCAGATTTTTTTTTTAAATCTCTGTTTTTGAAATCTACATGTCAAAGAGTCTTCAAAGGCAATTGGAAGGGGAACAGATTTTTCATTGTAATCGTGGAAGTTGTGTGATAGTTAGGAGATATCAACATGCATTTTTAATCTTTTCCTTACATGAAAGAGATGGCTTTTGGCAGTGTGTTCTAACCAGAAAGAAAGGATTTGTATTACTCTCCAAATCTACTGTACTGTCAGCTTCAATCCACCTGAGAAAAAAGAAAAAAATGGATAGCTCCCATGCATGTAATTCATAAACACTGTGAAGGAGAGCCACTTGGCATCTGCAGTCCTCGTATTAAGTCTGCCACGGAATGCAGTTACAGTATTGATTGGCGTATGGTCATAGAGCGACCATAGCTTACCTTACAGACCTGTGAAATCAAGGGCTTTTTAACCTCATAAAATTAATTTTCTGGAGAACTCTTAAAGAGAAGACATTGTAATTGTTTTTGCTACTTCACATATTGCCATTCAAAATATCTTTCAACCCAAAAGAAGTTAAATAATTTATGCAGGTTTTTGTGTGTATATATGCATATACTTTTTATATTAAAATTTTGAGGCTGTACAGCCACTGTACCCTATGGAGTAAAGCCATATATGTATATATGTTTTATGTATATATAAAACATTTCATCTAACGTGTGTGTGTGTGTGTGAGTGTGTGTAGCAGATATTTGTATAAAATATAAGCACTCTTGTCATATTGGTTATATGTGAAATTATTAATTTTGAAATAACCTCAGGCCACAGACTTGTAGTAACCATTTGAAGGCTTTACCTAGTGTCCCCTTGGTGACATATGCAGCAGCTCAAATTAAACCTTTGTGAATTGGGTTATGAATAATCTTTTGTTCCAAAGATGGCAAAAGCCTCGGTTTGATTTGATACTGAAGAATGCATTTCTCTGACTTTCCCAGTGAATCTAAATGTATTCAGTTGACAAAATGGACACATAAGGGCTTTTTCTAAATACCGTACATAATTACACATTTTCACACTTGCAGGGTAATCCTATGATACACTGTCAATCTCTATTTTTAAAGACTATCACCAGAAAAGAGAGAAAAGAAAATTCATATAAGAACAAGAAAATGTGAAAATGATCATAGGCTTGGGAATTCCCTCAAATCCAGAAAATTCCAGGTTAAGGCTTGAAGTTGAATCATTCCCAGGTCTAGCTCTAAAGTTAACAAGAGTACAAGGCAAACAATTTCTTTGGGGACAAGCAGCATTATTTCAATTAGACCTTCTCCTGCAGGGTAAAAATCATTCTTCCCCACACTATGAATGGACTCCAAGTATCATAATAAGCAGGTAAACTCACAAGAACCAAAGCTGACATATGGATAAAAGCAGCAAGATCACAGTACACCAAAGTATCATATATATTGAAGAAATAATTCAGTGTCTCAGATTTGTCTATAAAAATTTGTGATCTATATAGGACTTCATTCACATGGACACTAACGATAAGGAGTATTTGCTTTGGCGGTAGTGGGTCACACATCTGTTTATCTTGCTTTGATATTTTTTACATAATGTTTCTGAGTGATACAGATGTGAGTCAGGTAGCATTTGATTTCCCCACATATACACAACTGAGGTGCCCCGCAATCGGCATCCCTTGGGATCCTTGATTCACTGACGTTAGCCATACGAATCCATTGTTCAAACTCAGAACAATAAGCTTAGTTTCTGCATCATCATCAGTCAGCATAAATAATAAATCCAGAAAAGGTGCTGTATTTGTTGTTGTTTCCTCCATGGGCTTTCCCGCCATCTAATTTGATATAGACTTCGTCTCCCGGCTCCAAATGAAGAACCACACTGTTACTGGCATAGTCGTAATTCTGATCAGCATCTTGAGCAATCGCACTCGCACGCACCTATGTGAAACAGACAAGAATTAGGATGTGTAAATGAGAATTCTCAAGTTTTCTTTTCTGCCATTCATGTAGCATCCCAAGCTGCCATGCAGCCATAGCACAGAATTTGGCACAGGAAAGTCCATGTTGACCTCAAAGCTTTGTGAGGACAGTGCTGTGGCAGTTTCAGCTATGTTAGTGAGAAGGAGGACAGAAAGGGAGAAAATAGTGCTTCAGTGGGAACCGTTCTAGCAGTCTTATCTAACCATAGATTGTAAACTGTGCATATAATTTATTCTCTTCCTGTATCACTCATTTTTCTAACTCCTTCAATCCCTGTGCCCAATCACATTTTGAAATGAAACGAACAGTATTTTTTTGCATTTTAATTTAAGCCAAATTACAGTATTCTAATCAGCTGTTAATGAGTACAGAAGTTCAAGTCTAACTTCAGCTGTTCACCACAATTATTAGAAAACTGAGGTAGGTAATAGGTAAATATCGGGAAAATACCAATTACTCTACTACCTAGAAAGAAAAAAAAAGAAAGAAAGTCCTTTGATTTAGGGCTTTCCAAATCTAGTTCATGTAAAGCCCCCTGTACCAGGCTGGTTCAGAAGCTTAGCTCATTTATACATCTTTGATTATATCATCTGAGTTTTCAGAGTTCTTTTTTCCATTCATGTCTTTTTCTTACTTAACTACGATCTATGCATTGAAATTAACAATTTAATCTTAACATATCTAAAAGTTAAAGAAGGAACTAAATTTTCATGCTCTGAGGCTTCTCCAGTTTCAAGAATTTTTAAATGATTTCATTGAATATCCATTTATACTTAGGAGATTGTAAATACATGGCTTGATTTGAAGACAGAGGCTGCTTATAATCTGCCCATGTTAAGCCTGTGATCTCATTAGTGAGTTCATAGACATTTACAAACAGTCAAATTGCCTATCATCTCATGCAGTGTGGACATTCTGTCAGATTCTTAGCTCAAATTGGGCTTCATATTCATTTAGATGTGTTTTGATTCTGCCTTGGAAAATCTTTCAACAGGCAGACTTAGATTTGATTTATTTCAGTAAAACATCTTGTTCTTTGGCTTGTTTCATTTCTATGCCACTATAATGATATTTCCCTGAATAACATAGCAAGTGATTTAGTGGTTTTTGTAAACCTGCACTATGTAATAATGCATGACTTGGGGTACAATATGCTGGATTTTATCACTTGGCAAAAGGAGAGAAATGAGACAGAAGTCAAGAATTTCCATGCATTTCTTTCAGAATTTAAATGATAGGTTTTCCAATTAAATTTTCATGTGATATGTTCTCGCATTAGTGCTGAAATGTTAAAAAAGGAGAAGGCTCTTTGACACTGCTGAACTTGTAAAGTCATTTGAGTAGTATCTTTAAAATTTCTTTCTGGGTATCATATAGCAGAAGGAGAAAATGGCTTAAAGGATTTAGAATTGCTTAACACTGTGCTACAGGCCCTAATATAATGAAAGCACTATACCATGTAATTATGCTCGGAATCATTGACTCCAATGTATATACCGATTTAGTAAAGTGGTCTGTTTTGACCATTAAATAATAATGCAATTTAACTTCATATCATTTTCTGAAAATTAATCATGAGTTTGTAGGAGTTGGATGCTTTGATTCATTAATTTCATCTAGTCACTAATTCCCAGGGAAACAAATCTACAAGGAGAATATTGCTATTATGATTGTGTTTCTTCTAATCTGTGGATTTTTAATGGGTGAGAAAATTTTAAAACAAAATATTTATGAGCTACATTAGTAATACATTAATTATCAACCCATAATATACTCCTCAGCTATTACTAACAACCAGACACATTTTATTTAGTGCTGTGGGTTAGGACATGCTCTGTGGTTATTGGCCTTTAACATGGTGTTCTACATGAAGGTACTGGAGAAACAGAACACATTAAAATCACTTGATTTTGACACAGTAATCTTTTGAAAAATATAGTGCCATTTTTATACTCCAGGGTGTAGCCACAAAACTAAGTAAACGTCACCATTTTTATTCAGCAGGTGTAACCACAAAAACCTGCAAATGCATTAGAATGGTTCCACAGACTGAAAGGTTCCCCTCACCGTTTCTACCACCTTTGTTGGATAAAGCCAGTGCGGCTGCTTTTTAATGAATGTAATTCTCTGAGATTTTAACCTATACTGTACAGTAAGGCTGTCCCAATTAAAAAAATGCTATACTCTAGTGTAAATACATGATTTCGGTATGCCTACTCACCTGATCATATTCCAGAGATATAATAGGGCTTGAAATTTCAAGCTCTAGTACCCAGCTCAGTGACTTTAACAATTCTTTCAAGCCATCAAACTATTGAGGAAGGTAATGCATTCACCCTGGAGGCTATCTCCAGGTTCCTAAATGTACCCTGATTTCAGCATTTTGTCTGGGAACACGATCCATCCTGTCTTCAGCGCAACAGACCCATGGCTAACTAAATTTTCTCTAGTATCTTTTTCTTATTACAAGATAACTATTTAGATTCTGCTTTATCTTTAGTCCATGTTTCTTTAACCCCAAAAAGATTATTAATTTGATGTCATTAATCTCGCTAATAAATGAATACCAACCCACAAACTACTCATTCTTTTAAAAATATTTACTTTCATTGGTGCCATAACTAATACATTTTTAAGAGTACCAACTGTTCTTTAATTATTTTATGCTTTCAATCTTGAACCAGCTTTAGTTTTCCTTAGAGTGGCTTATTTATTATAGTGGCATTAGACTGATTATATTCAAACAGCAGTTTTTCTTCATGTTTCCTGTTAAAGGGATTACAAACATTAAAGAGATTTCCTCTTTCCAGATGTAAAGCTATTTGAGTCTAAGTTTTACCTTTAATATGCACTGCCATGGGCTTTCAACAAACGGTGAGATTAAATTTAGGCTGATGGTTTCATGGGGAATAGGAGAGCTGCGGTCCTTTTAGGGGTATGTTTCTGTGTCTGTAATAGGTTGTGTAGTTTTAGCATTATCTTATTAGTGAGGATTTATCATTGGAGACAATATTTATGGTGACATTTGTAATTTAATTAATTGCTACTGATGTTCTCATAATTTCATTTTCATTGTACTTCTGTGGAATCATAAACAAAAGGTTAAGTGGCACATCAGGTTAATTTACTGGTCTTTGATGTTTCCATCTGTGATCCTATGTTCTACACAAAGCATAAATAAAATGGCTCTCCTATGGTTACGATCCAGAGCATTTCTCTCTCTTAGAGGGAACTGCATTTTTAGTTTAATTTTTGTGCTTCTCAAAATCCACTGAATCCATAGAACATTACACTGACATGGATCTCCAAGTTTGTGTTTTATGAAAACAAATTAGGTCAGCCAGAGAGGGAACCTACCACTCTGAGAAGTGATCAGACAAGAATATAATTGAAAAGCAAGAGTGAAGTGTTATTTAAAATTAATGAAAAGATTTTATAAGATTTCTCATTTGTAACCACCTGCAGACTGGACTTGACGAAATAGTTCTAGTCTAGAGATAAAATTCCTAAACAGTAGTAGTGTAGTAATCATTTTCCAAAATAGTCCACACCGAACTAAGAAAAAAACATTGTTTACAACTATAGACCTATTTTCTGAATTACCTGTTGCATACCTTTTTGCAAAAGTAGCAGCTTAATATTACCCACGAAAAGCATTATACACTAGAAGGTCAGCTGTTTCACCTTGTTATTTTTCCTGATCTTCATGG